CCCAGATTAATGCTCGACCAGGCTGCCCAGGGCCCCATCCAATCTGGCCTTGAACATCTCCAGGGACGGGGCATCCACAACCTCTCTTCCAGCACCTCACCACTCTCTCACAGTAAAGAATTTCCCCCCTAACGTCCAGCCTAAATCTCCCCCTCCCTCAACTTAAAACCATTTCCCCTTGTCCTGCAGTTATCAACACTTTCAAAGAGTTGGTTCCTCTCCTGTTGGTAGGCTCCCTAAAACTTCTTCACCACCATTAGGTATAGATTTTCACCAGCTGCAAATAAGAGCCCAAACGCCATGCTTGCACAGATCTGCACAGCCAACCACTGCTGAAACATCCCACCCACTGCCTCACTGTGTTCACATCCACTGTTTGATCTCCAGAAATGTTCAGAAAGCATCAAAGAATGCTAATGGGTGCCATTTTTTCCTCAGGGAGGAATTCAGTGGCACATTTTTTCTTCACACGGACTTCCATGTCAGGCACCATTTTGCCATACTGCCCCTTTGCTGCCACCTGTCATACAGCAAAAAAAACTAACAAGGTAGGCAGGAAGGTTCAGCTTCCCCTGCCATACCACCAACATAGACCTCCGATTTCACAGAACAACATAATAAAATAGGGGAAATAACTTTAAAAACAGCCCTCATATATATATGCATGTATATAATACACCTCATATACACCTTATGTAACATGACACACAACATGCACTACATGGACTCTTCACCATTTGATTAATCCTCTTGTACAAAGATCGGAGATTATGGGAAGAGATTAAACTTGCATATTACTCGTTGTAATCAAAAACTGAAAGCCAGATAAGTCAACACTGATGAAGCTTTTCTGATTCTACTATTTCTATTAACTATTTAACACATTTTTGAGAACATCATCTCACAATTTCAGTGAGAAGAAGCACACACAGATGTTCTGAAATGATTTCCTTGCAAGTGTGAGACAGCAGTGGACAAATAAAAAGGAATATCAACAAACTGAGTCCTATTTTCCAGTCGCAAACAAACCTGATAAAAATAGCTCCAGAGAATGAAAATACCTTTAGTATTATTCCCTAATTACTGTCCTGATTTGGTCAAGTCTGCTGTGCAAAATTTTCTTTTAGAAACTGCTTAGGACACTTACATATAGCATACTTCATAATAGAGCTGCAGGGAACTCTACTTTTAAAGCAAGATAGCTTTGCTTCAAAGCACGCAATAAGTACATTTCAACATCATAATTTATTGAGCTGACTTGGGCTTTTCTGTCTCCTTGCATACATGGCCACAAACAGATAGTACAGTCATGCTGCAAACAAATCACAGTCAGAAGAGACCCCTCCATATCATATCTGGAGCTACATATGTGACTTCACATTGGAGTGCAAGATTTTGCACAAATATGCTGTATCAGTATATATCACAGTTTCTTTTTTCAAGTACCACTTTATGAATATTGTTGCATGCACACTAGAGGGAGTTGTAGGAGCACATTAATTTCATAGAAAAATAGAGGTAAAATACCACACATATCACTACGAAATGACAGAATTTTAAAACCAATTTAAGGTACAAATAGTTAGGGAATGAGACCAAACAAAGTTTTGTACTCAGTCAAGTGTGTCAGTGCCATTTAACACATCCTTAAATCAATACAAGTAAAGTTTCAGTAAACCTACAGACTCTTAAACAGCAAATCAAAACAATCATGGTTACTTTGTAGGTTTGGAAATTTTTGCTTGGTTGCTCTTAACTTTTGAGGCTTGTCTCTATTCTATATATATATGTATATATATACATATATATATATATTTTTTTTTTTTTTTGCATACAGATATGCGTGTATATATATATACATACACACACACACACATATACACACACATATATCTGTATGCAAAAATACATTATAATATAACAATACATTCAGATAGTAACATATAACAAGATTACTATTTGTTATTAACCTACTAGAGTTGTGCAGAGATTAATGAAGTAACATTAGGAAACTGGATGAAAGTCATTTAATGTATTCTTCAATTTTATATGTTTGGAGTTTTATTTGTTTGGGTTTCTCTTTTTTTTCCACTATTAGAGATGACTACAAGTTTACTTGCTATTCCCTTCCTTTCGTTCAACTGTTCATAAACTTTTCTATTTATATTTGCTTGTACTTACATTAATTGAGAAAATAAAAAAGAGCCTTACGAGATGGAAAGATACCTGCAAATATTAGCTTTTTGGGTGGTTTGCTGCTGCTGAAATGTCAGCTCAGGAGATCTCTTTCTGTTTTGTTTTTGCTGCAACAGTCAAATTATAAGAACATGGATTAGAATATACATCATTATCATTTCCTGATCTGGAATTTAACACCATCACAAACGCAGACATGGCAAAACAACAAGAATGAAAACAAAAAATTGAAGACTGGGAAAACAAACAAATAACAAAATCTTGTCACATATACATACCAAGTCTTAAAAATAGCAGAAAACATATAATTACTTAACATATTTGTCTTTTTTTTTTTTTTTTTTAAAAAGAGGGAAAGATCAGGACTTCACTATCTAAAAGGCATCTGTCTCAGTTCCTGTGAAAGCTAGGAAGGGAATTCAAATACGTTCTAAAACAAAAAACCAAACAACATTACCACAATGAGATTAGAAAAGATATGTAGATTTCTGCAAGAAACAAGACTCATCTAATCACAGTATTTTAGAGCATATAATGAATGTAAGGTAATTTCCTGTCTAAAAATAGCAGCTTATTTGCATTGAAGCAGATGTAGATTCCTCTTTTCTTGAGGGTGATGTTACTGGATCAAATTAAATGGCAGCCTGCTGGTTTTCTTCTCCTGCAGTTCTCTTACGAGTTAGTGAGAAATGGCATTATACATCCTTACTTTTTAACACTGTTACATTTTCTTTATGAGGCATAACTGGATTATGCCTTTTTATACAATGTCTCAAAAGATGAGATTATTTGAAGGCTTCTCAAGTAATCCAGTATTCATATTCTGAAGATGCACTTCTCCCAGGGTGATTATCTTCACTAAAAGAAAGATTATTTTACCCTATTAGGGATTAAAATGAATTGTTAAAAAAAAAAAACAAAACCAACAGTAAAGCAGAAGACCAGTGGTCTCAGAATTAACATAATGCATTGGTAAATGTACATACAGTTTTACCTGAACTCTGACTGAAGAATGTTCTTTTTCGTGTGATAAGGGAGAACATTAAAGGTAAAGGAAAAAGATATCCCCACAAACTATTGAATACCTCAGAACACAAAACAAAGTACACCCCACTCAGGTCTCTGAAGGTTTCTTCCTAATGCCTTCCCCACTGCCCCTCCTCTCTGCGTTACTAACTAAGTTTAGGTCATAGAAACCCCTTCTTTGCAAATACATGTGATTCAGATCTATAGGTTCCTGTGGTTGCAACTGAAGATAGTTAGCAAAAAAAAAAAAAAAAAAAAAAAATGGAAGACAAGGAGACAAAACTTAAGTCCCAAGAGGCAGCTCATGAAATTCTCCTGGTGACAGAGAGGCTGCAGACTCATGGTCCTGCTGAATTTGCAAGAGCCCAGAATAGCAGGAATTGGCCACAACTGCGTGAGACCACCAGCAGACATTCACATAACCCTTACCATATCCACTAAGGCATTAGCTGCTACATACAAAGGCTACACTGTGGTGGTTCTAGCTCATACCTATCTCTAACTATTCAGAAAGGCACAAATGTTCCTAACCATAACAATTCATCCCAAAATCTGCCTGGCACAATCACAATCCCTTGATTTCTATAAGATTGATCAACCTATGGTTATAAATATACCTTACTCTGATGCTTACTCTGATGGTACATTACACGTACAGATTACTGGAGTTTCAGCTCAGCTTGATCATGTATTAACGCAATATGCTCTAGCTTATTCTGATAATGTATAGTATAATGTATATTGTATGAGTGAAGTTCTTCGATGACATAACTGTAACAAGGGCACCTACTGAGGAGAATACTAGCAGAAAGTAGATTGTGTTGACACATTACATAGGAGTGCAATTGTAGCATTAACAAGATGAATTGCATAAGCTGATTTAAGAAGCTATATGGCGATGGAAAGTGCAGCAATGACAGCAGAGTAGCAAAGTCCCTGGCTGCCGCAAGTGAGTGCTTGCTCAAAGGAAACAGCCACGGGCACAGAAATAATGGAAAAAATCTGCTTACCTTAGGAAGGCTTCAGGTATGCAGGGAAGTCCAGTGAGATACCCTCACCTCTACTGCCAACCCTTAAATGAGGTCCAGTCACTCAAGAGCACTGCATGCACCTGAGCTCCCCAGGGTTGGCCCTGCCTTCCCACCAGGTGCTCAGTAACTGGTTCAAACCATGAATTAGCTCTTCTGCTACAGAAGCCTAGTTAGTACAAAAGGGAGCAAGACAAGCTGTATAAGCTGTTAATAGTATTTTCATTCATTGTTCAAAAGCAAAACCTGATATGATTGAAGATGCCCATCAACCCACTGATACCTCCATTAAAACTATCAGAAATCCAATTGCTTGCATGGTCTTGAGCAAGAGTAAAATCTGAAAATCAGTTTGAGCCCTGACTCGTGATACACTTGACCTTCTCTTTTAAAAATAAGAGTAGTTGATAAACTCTATTATTGATACAAAGAACTATAAAAACCAAGATATTTTCTGAGCATTAAGCACAAGAAAGGCAAGCATGATTCATCATCTGGCAGGTGGATCATCACTGAGTAAAAACCAAAAAACCATAACATCACTAAAAAAGCAGAAATTGAAGACGACAGAGTACTACAGCATTAATAGATGTGTGGATCAGATCACAACTATTCGGCCTCTAAAGGTGTGCTGAACTCATAGGGGAGAGCTGAACTTAGATAAAGATGTCAATTTTTTTGTTTCACTTCAGTTCTACAGAAGATAACTTCTTTTGGTATTTCAAAAAGCTCCCAGCAAGTATGACAAAGGAAGGTATCAAAAGCAACTTTATACAGAAGAAAACCAAAAAGGAATTTACATTTAAAGTTGTAAAAATAAGTTACAAATGATCTAGATTCATTCTCTACAGCATTAGCACAGATGTAAATGATTCAGAAAAATCAGTTACAGTACTTAAAAACCTCCAGCCAAATACAAAATTACACATTTCCAAAAGTACTTGTACATCAAGTTCCTCTTCACTCAAAAAAGTACAAAAACTGGATAACTCAATATACTTTGTTAGCCTCTGAAAAGTCTAATAAAGCTCTTGCAGTAAAAAAGCGATTAAGCAATACCACATCTCCACTGAGGAACACATTAGTGCATACAATAAATACATAATTTTGATGGTAGCACAGCACTGCAAGACGTTTTTGGACAAAGTAGTAAGGTACACTAGCTTTCAGATAATACATTACTAATTCAGCATGATTACATTTCCCTCCAAAGCAGAAAAGTGCAAAAATGCCAAATAACAGCCATTTTATTTTCAGAGAAAAAGCATGATTGACTCCCATCACTGTAGCCCATTCATAGAAAATAATTCTAAAAGCCTGAACTGTTCTAAAAGACCAACGTTCTCAAGATGCTGCACACTTTCCCTCACAGGTGAAGACGATAGGTATGAATATCTGGGTTCCAAGCTTTGATATCAAAGAAAATATTTATGTTTCAGATCCTAATTTTCTTAACACTATTGTAAGATGTGCTAAGCCCAGGTCTCCTGGAATCTAGTGTTAAAGAATGAATATTTTCTGTTAGTTTTCACTGGCTCTAACAAGCAGACTAAAGCTAAGTGGTTAAAGAATATCTATGGGGAAAAAGCAGAAGGAAGTAGCTGATTGGAAATGCCATTTTTCAGCCTAGCAGAGCTCCGTTGTTTGTAATGCTCCCCTCATTCTATAAGTAAAAGTGCAGGAAATAATCCACAAGAAGGGCTAAGATGTAAATCTGTTCCCCATTCTTTTAACAAACCACATCCCAGTAAAAGTCACAAAGGAATACAAAATACTGATGTATAACAAACACCCATGTTCTTTAAAATAGTTCCGAAAGTAGCACAGTTAAGTCCAGGCCAGAACACAACATACATTTCTAGAGAAATTATACCTCAGAATGAGGCAGAACGGTAAGCCAATCAAATATGGGATGAGAAAGCAGTCAATCATATTGTGCTCAATAGAGCACAATCTTCTAAAAATCAGTGATGTGGGTGAAACCCTTCTGCATTTATCAGTGGGAGTTCTGTTATATTTGTTATAAATCTAAGTTTCTGTTACAAATCTAAGTAACTCATGTATATGTATACATACACACACATACATATACATATACAGAGTCCCTTAGATTTACACAACACTTGTGAAGGAGGTAGACGTGCACGAATTCAGTCAGTTACTTTCTATCTTTGCCTCATTTTTCACTCTGTATGTGTGAAACTTGAACCTCATCTAGTCCTATGCCTGTAATACTCTTACGCTCTACTTTTACTTGTAAGTTGTGCAACACTCCACGGCCTCAAAGGATGACTTTACTAAATGCTATGCTTCTAGTTCGCTATGAATAACACTCAGACTGAGTTGAGCAAACATAACTTCTAGCAACACAACATGAACTTGCTTCAGAGTTGAAGACCATCATCACTGCTACTTCAAGACCAGATTTTTCAATAGACTACAATAAAATAAAGGATTTATAAAATACTTGACAATGCTATTTGATATCTCTTTCCCCTACATAAACAAGCACAAAAGTTTTTGGTTTTGTTTTTTTTTTTTTGTCTGCTTTTTAAATGAAGTTGGTATTTCAATCAGTGAAAGGCATAAAAAACACCTTCCAGCTGCTGTAGCCCTACTGGGTCATAATGCAGAGAAGAACAATGTTAAGAAAAAATAAAAATAGGTACCCGTATCATCTAACTTATTCCCAACTGCCCTTACTCCTAACTTTAGGCACCTAAGTTGAAGGCATAAAAGGAAAAGATGCAGTGTCCTAACATGTTTATACTGTTCCCTGTTTTTTCCCCCAACAGTTTTTAGTATCTTCACATCATATCAAGTTCTATTTCAGTGTTGTTTTCTTTGGTTGTTCATCGCTTTTTTCCCCCCAAACTTTTGCATTTAATTATTTATTATAAGCTTATTGAATAGAAAATTCCTTTTTTTATTAACACAAAAAAAACTATATTTTAAACTCTGTCTTAAATTTCTTTTTTTCCTTGGGAAATTCTAGGCACTTAATATCATACAACAAAGTTATTATTTTCATACTATTTACTAACCAATACTGCAGTATGTATTAGCATTCAGTAATATGTTACCTTCACTTCACGGAAAGAAAAAACATTTCCCTGAATTCTTGATAGCAGTATTTTATACCCACTCTATCACCCTATCAGGTGAGAGCTCCCCTGAAAGTGCAGGTGGTGACTGGAGTTTATATGCATGTTTTGGAACTCCCTTCTGTTTCCAAGAAAGTTCTGCTTCACCTGTTTCAACTCGTCTTCCTTCAGTCTCAGTAGTTTCTTTACAAGCAACCTGAGATCTCGGTTTTAGCTGTCCTTGTTCAAGTTCAAAACTCAAAATAAGTGAATCAACAAGACAGTCCAATTCATCTAAGTTCATAAACGGCATTGTTGTTTTCTGGAAAGGATTGTTTGCAGAAGCAGAAGACAATGCAAGTAAACTGAAATAATTGTTAAAATATCCAGCTATGATAGAAATCTCTCCCGCAAAGCTCCTGAGCTGGCTCGTATTTCTGAACGACCCTATGAGAAACAAAAACAGAATGAAAGGTAGTATTCCACAAGAAGAGACCAAGCAGCCTTCCTTCTCCTTACTATACAGATTGCCTTTAGTCTACAAGTTATGAGCTAGGTAGGTAATAATTCAGGTAAATACCTTGTAAGGTAGAAGAAACAATCTGATGCACTTCAGATAGACACCGCTCCAGTTCCACATATTTCGCAGCGATGTTAGTGCTTCTCTTTATTTCCTGAGATAGCCATTCTTCTTGTGCTAAGTGAGACTGTATTCTTTCCTGTATTAACAAACAGTAATTTAAAGAGACCCAAATACATGACAGCAATCCTTAATAGTTAATACACTGTTCCAGACTTAGTCACACAAAAGTAGACCACTGAAACAATGAATAAAAGGGATGTTAGATTACTGAAAAGCTCTGGGAAGAAGTCTTGACAGGAGGGAAAACAAACAAACAAGGTAACTAAAATCCCAAGACAGGCTTGGTTCTCAGAAGGTAGATTAAGTTATCTCTCCTAGCTTTTAATTCAAATAACCAGCAACAACAGCAATTAATTATTGCAGTAGTTACCCAGTTTCACTAAAATTACTGAACTTCAGGCCGTTAATGAACAAAGACAGAAGAATATATAAATCACCCTAGAAACAGTAAATAAAATCAAGCACTTTTAAATGGAAATGCAGTGGCCAGAAAAGCTGCAGTGTTCCAAACACAAGAATGCCCTTAAGGGAAGAAGTGGAATATGAAAGTTATGTAAGTATATGAAAAGTTATCTCTTTTGTTTGTTTGTTAAATGCACCTTTTTTAGTTTAAAATCCAATTTCAAAGCACAAACCTGGTGAAATATTTTACTTACCTTTCTGCAATGAGAGACATTACTTTCAAGGAATCTGGCCAAAGCCACAGCATTATCCTTAATTTGACTTTGAATCTACAAAGGAATATTACATAGTACATTTGAGTCAAGGCACAGGAGAAGTACAACAATATTTCAGAAGCAGAACAAACAGCACACCAATATGGATAATACTTAAAAGCAAAAGCAATGTTTTTTGCAACATAAGATGGAATTTTTTAAAAATAAAGTAGTTGACATTGTTCTCCACCAGTTAACATATCTGCAAAATTTCATGTAAGTTCTTAATATAGGAGAACCAAATGAGCAAACTTAAGTGTTCGTTAAAGAAAGGTTCTCCTATAACTATTATGCCACTGCCATTTTAAGCAGTGGTATAAGCTTTTAGCTCAAACTCTTGTGTTCTCTCTCTGACTTCACAGTAGCTGGAGACATTAGTTAAAACATTACTCAACCACAAAGCATACACAGGGCTCCTGCCAGTAAAAAATAACCTGCAGCAAGTTAACAGTGTGATTTGGAACGCAGTTTGTACAACTCCTTTTGCTAGAAACATGAAAAAAATTTCTGCAAGACTTCCATCTCTCTCATCTCATACTTCTGCTACTCAGTGTAAATTTATTCCACACAAGCTTTCCAGAAAGAACTACAGAAGAATAAAGCAATATGGTAAAGCATCTCTAAAAACACACCAGTAATTTCTAATTTTAATATTATCTCACCTCATTTTGTGGATATTGTTTCACTAGTTCTTTCTGCATCATTCTTGCTTTTTCTTGTACAGTGTTTGTAAGCAACTCCAGCCCTGAGCCTACTCCATCGTGAACAGCACGTATAAAGTCCTTGTAAAGCAAAGAGTGAAAACATGATTAAAGGAACACATATGGCCACGTGTAACACTGTAACACAAAGGAAAATGCAGCAATGACAGCAGAGTAGCAAAGTTCCTGGCTGCAGCAAGTGAGTATTTCCTCAAATTAAACAGCCATAGGAGCAGAAACTAAGGGGGAATCTGCTTACCCTTGGAAGGCCTCAGATATGAAGGGATCTCCAGCAAGATACCGTTGCCTCCACTGCCAACCCTGAAATGCTGTCTGGGAAGGGGTGGACCCCTTCCAGTCCACCCTTCGTGTGCACTTGAGTTTCCCTAAGATGGCCCTGCCTTATCACTTAGCTAAATTACTTAGCATTTCCACTACACCTTGGAAACAAAATGGACTTTCCATAATGGACTAGAAATACACTTGGTTTTTTTTGTTGTTTGTTTTTCTACGCAATTGTTCATTGCTGGCCTATTTGGCCAAGTGTGATTCTTGAACAACAGAGGCTCCTTTTAATTTTATTCAGATTTCTGAAAATTCAGTGCGTTATCAACAGAGACTCTTGATAAAAATATTGAACTTATTGAAATATGCCTACTTGTATGAACTCAGTGCAGATGCAATCCTGAAAGTATAGCATTCTTACTTGTGCATGAAAGTTGTACACACTTAAAAGTTCAGAGCTTCTTGATTGTATGATTTAGACATGTTTGGTAGTTTTGAATTTTATTTTTTTCTCTTCCAGTACTACAAGTATGAAAGTATACTCATCTTCATAAAAATGAAGTATTAGATGAACTCAAAACTTTATTCCATTTCTTAAGTTGTTTGATGTAACCATTAGACTTACAATCACAACTACTCAAAACAACTGTGAATGTCAACACTAAAATTACTTCATAATTAGGTCCTACGTTTTAAGATACTTCAGAGTAAAGAAAACAAGAACTCCTCAAAAGCTATTGTTTGGGACAAGCCTTCATGCTCAAGTATTTCTCATACTTACCTAGAAAGTCATTATTACTATTAAACTTTTTCACCTGTAAACTGACTGTAGAAATAGTGTTCTCTTCAAAAAAGGAAATATCAGTTCTCGTGAATACAGCCAGGTGTCCTATGCATTTCATCGTCTGTTTTACTGCTTCGTTGACTTTGCTCTGTGCTTCTGTTACCATTGAGGATATATCTGAAGAACATCCCTTAGAAATAAAAGTATGTCATTCATTGAAACTAGAAAGTATATGTTCAAAGAGCACACACTTTGTGTAGTGCAAGTTCGTAATGCCAAATAACTCATTGCATTTTCAGATTCATATCTTCCCACTTGCACCTGTTTCTCTACTGCAGATAGAAGCCAATATCTCATAACCTTAAAGAGACATGATATTATAATACTAAACACTTTTAATAGAATTAGCCTTCCAGCAGCTTGTAATGCTGTAACATGATGAAAAGCACAGCAGTGACAGCTAGACATTAGGCTGCTTTTAGCATATGTAGTTAACATTACTTTAATACACAGGATTTCTCTACACAGCAGCTGAGCCACATTCTCTTTTTTTCCAAAATGCCTACTTTACCTGCAACAGTAACTGTAAATAACCTCCCAAGTTCTTTACTTCCTGTTTTATTTCTTCATTAGTCTTCATAGATCCAATGCACTTCTGCACATTGTTAAGCCAAGTCTTGATCAGTACCACAAGCTGGTCAAAAGCAGAGGTAATTTTTATGCCGTACAAATGAGCATCATGGTCAAGAGAGATAACTACAAAAGAAATAGGACATTTTCAGAATATCTCCTCAACAAATGGAAGTAGGAATGTTTATTCTTCCCATCACCTCACATATGGTTGCACATCTGAAAGGCAATTCACCAGTAACTTTTATCTTAAAGGTTATGAAAGCCAGACTTACAATTTTTTTGACAGTCTTCATCTTGCTGCTCATAGGCTTTAGAAATGGCAGAAACTCCTGAAGAAATTGTAAACAAATTACTCAGGAGATGATCAGCAATGCTCTTTCCTCCTTCATGATTCTGTTCCAGTAAATCTAAAGCTGAACTTACAGCTTCTTTGCAAATTCCCGGAAGAAGAGAATCAAAAAAGTTTGGGCATATGCTGGATTTATTCTGTGCACCTGTACGGTATAAATTAAAATACATAGGCATGAAACTCCACAGAAATAAGCAGACAGAAAATCTAACCATTGTGCATTGTTTCTTTAGAAATGTTTAACTGCCAGACATGCAAGTTTAAAAAAAAAAAAAGTGTATACGCAATTCTGCACAATTTTTAGGATTAGTCAGTACAGATTCCACAGTGAAATTCTTTAACGTAAATCCAACTTTTTCAACAATGGAAAACATAGACAGAAAATGAAGAAAACAAGCCAACCTACAATAACTTCATAAGCACATTTGGAAGACTGAAGCATCTAGGGAAAAACAAGATTTATAAAACCCGACAAAGAGCCAGGGCAAACCTTAGCAGCTAAACGAACAGCAAAGATTCAAGCACATTCTCCAAACAACTGTACCAGCATTCAGCCACTGGCAGTTTGTTTCTTGAACTGTCATCATTCTCCCGTAAACCTCCAGTTAAGCATAGTAACATTGCAAGTAAAACTCTCATTAACAAAAAAAAACAACCCAAAAAAGCAGTTTCAAGTGGTGGTTAGAAGCTTTTATCCTAAGAAAGCATAACTATAGAAGCAAAGATCCACTGTTAACAGATTAGCATTCTGAGCATGGATACATTATGATCGGGACACTTTCCATTTTGTCCCCCATGATTATTGCAAGTTCATGCATTATACTAAGTAGTATTTCCAAGTTCTCAATATAAAGTGAACAGTGATCTGCCATACAAGTACCTGATATATAGGATGCTCGTGTGTTCTGCATTGGCTGCAACTTTATACCAGACAAACATCCAGAAATTCTCTTGTTCTTCATGAAACTCCTACTTCTGGAAAGGATGAGTGTCAATATATTAAAAACTTAAAGTATCTCACTCCTAGCTCTTACTGAAGGATCAGTGAATGTTAATATCCACCAGGCAATTGTGTGTGTATATATATATATATTTACATATACACACACTTTCAATTCGTTGAACTTGTTAACACAGAACCTGAGATAGACTGTCCTTCTTGCTCCCTTGCACTACACATAAGGAATGTCAAATCTTAGCTTAACACATGGAATTCTATTTCATTCACCAGTATGCATGACTGACACAAGTCAGCTGCTGACAATGCAGCAAGGAAGCCAGTTTCCCTTTGTTTTCTCATTCAGTTGTTTCTAGAGGCAGAATGAGAACAAGTACACTTCTGAGGTTCAAGAATACACACCTACAACATTAGGATACTATCCAGAAGCTTCAGACAAGGCAAAGTGTTCCAACATTATTTAATATTTAGACTAAAAAAAACGTTTATTCATGGTGTTCTTTTCAGACTTGTTTACTTGGAATGATCACCATTTTACCATCAGCTGAAGTGACCTGCTTTACAGCAAAATAACAATAATCAGCTGCAACCCACTTGCAGAGCTGTAAGGGAAGCATCAATTAGCATTCGTATTACAACCAACAATTTGCACAATTCTAGAATCACAAACACTGTTACAAGTCTGAAACTTCAAACACAAGGTTTTCAGATCAGCTGCAATTCATTTTTTAAAAATATTGCTGTTGTATTAAAGAGCCATGAGTAAAACCTGAACAACAATATATTTTGCTCCATACCAATACCTAAAAACTTGGTTCGCAAAGCCTCACACACGTTTTGGCTGAATGCACTTTTGGGTCTGGGGGAGCCTCTTTTCCCCTTATTTCTTGTCCATTTTGGAAAAATAAGGTAATGGGCAAATAGAAGATCTCACTAACATGGTGTATGGGAAAAGTAAGGATGGTAACAACAATTTAAGTTGTTGCCTATTCATGACAGCTTGTGCTACTAATTGAACATGCATTGTACCTTACATCAGGTTCTCCACAGGTTAATCAAAAATCCTATGCTAGAGGTAAATTGATCAATTTCTGGAGATGGCTCTGAGAAGATAATTAAGGACAGCTTTTATCATCAGCTGATTGTCAACCGTTACACACAAAGCCTGCTGGCACTGATTACTCATCCATTGCTTTGCACAAGCTCAGAAATACTACTGTTTCATCTTCCAAACTGCTTCAGTGAGAATGCAGTTCTTATTATTACATTGACAACACGTTGCATATTAAGACACATTTTGCAAGGGAGCACAGTAAAACGCAGTAAGATTTCACACTTAGTATTAACCTCCCCATTCCTCACATATGTTTTCTTTTACATTAATTTGGTTTTAATTTAATTTTTCATCTAATTCGTAGGTTTGGCATTATGATAATCTAAACCAAAAAAATATAAGTAAAAGATTGAGTGACACAGAGGTATAATTATGCAAAGTAACTTCTGATTTGTATTGAACAGCGGTGAAGGAATTCCAAATGATCACCTTCTTCCAGAAAGAGAAGAAACTGAGGCATCTGAAAGGTCAGGTTCCCACTCATCAGCAGGGTCATAAAATACATCAGCAGCTTTATTGCTATCATTACTCTGGGAAATATAGGAAACAGAGGAGAAGGAAGGTTAAGTAGAAACTGAGAGATAATAAAGCATACAATACCAGGATGAAGACATCATGCTTTGCTGTACAGCAGTAGATTTAATCACAGAATCACAGAATTGTGGGGGCTGGAAGGAACCTCCAGAGATGATTGAGTCCAATCCCCCTTAATGTCTTACTTTTTGTTAGGAAATGTGTAATTTAAAAAAATAACTAACTGACATTTAGGTTGAGATGCAAATTTTTAAAATGCAAAATGAAACAAGAGACATTTAGTGAAGACACTCTGCTGTTCAGCATCTTCAGATACAGGATACAGGAATACCAAGTAAAAATCTTCACAGCTCTCTCCATATGACAACATCTATTCAAATTCTGTGTATGTAATTCACACAAAAACAGATATAAAAATAAATTTGTAGTGGTTTTAGCCATATTTTTGCATTTGACACAACCTCTGCTTTTGTCAAGAGTCAAACAGGTTTTAGTAATAAACACAGTGTGCTCCTAGCACTGGAAATTTTTGCATCTCTCAGAACTACATTGTAAAGGAATGTTTTCTCTTCCATTGTTTTCTGGTTTTATTTTGTTATTTATTTTTTCCCTTTTGATCAAGGCAGGGAAAGATTTTAAGTATCTGATATACATATATCAAAAACCAAACATACATATACAACAAATTAGATAATATACACACACATATAGGTATATATTGAGGGTTTTGTGTGGGGCTTTTTTTTTTTTTTTTTTAAGATCACATAGCAAAAAAAAAAAAAAACAAAAACCCACAAACCCAAGACTCTCCTTATATGATTACTGTGATTACTGCAATATCTTCAACAAAATGTTACTGCTCATTAGTTAGTGGATTTGCTTAAGTTCTTACTGACCTCATAGAGTTCTTTCATAGCTGCTAGTTTGCATTCAAATTTCTCCAGGCTCCAGAAAGTTGCTATGCGCAGTTTGATGTTACGAACCTGTACTTGGACAGAAGACACCAATCCTGTTTTATCATCAATTTTGTCATGCCTGAGAATTTGAGGAAATAAGAAAAAAAATAAAGTAGTAAATATGAAGTACTTGTAGGTAGATCATACAGAGACCAAACATTTGATTACAAGCCCAGTAATAGTTTAGGACACCATGTTTCTTACAAAATACAAATATTAGTTTCCATTTTAAGTACATTTATATTTAAAAGAGAAAAAAAAAATCCTTGCAGTCATAACCCCATACTAATTCCTAGGTCTCAAGAAACTCAAAACCAAATATGTGCTATAAACTTTTGTTGCCAGAAACATCTGAAAGCCACAGTAAAACACCCACTCATCCCTACTATTGTAGCCATGTTTACTGCAGAGATTCTCCTGCACTGTATCTGCACTCCTGCTAAGGATATCTGGCCATTATACAGAAACAACTGGTCTCAAGTGCTCAATATCCACTGCATGCATGTCCTCAGGTTTTCACTTCAAACTACCCCTCTTGGGTTAAGTTTATAGGGCTACATCATAGTGGCTGACACACATGTCCTGGTTCAGTTTTGCCCCAAATTAGAATAATTTCCATTGAAAAAACATCTCCAAGATCAGAAGTTTCATCAAAATGAGTGATGTATTTCATGTGCCTTTGGACCTCTCTGATACGTGAGCTGAAACACGATGAACGAAGGCATCATTCACCCCCAAAGCATGCTTGATCCAAAATGAACTGCCTAACGTCAACGTAACTTGATTTCAAAGTAATACAACTAAGTTACACATTCCTCCAGAGCTAGGTGGGAAAAGTGATCTGTCATCTTCAGAAATCTGTTCAAAGAACATCAAATAGCTGATTGCACTTCTAGAATCCCCACCACATGCACTTATAACCAGCTCACTCAGACACTTACCTGTTAAAAATAGTGTTTTTCCCTAATTCACTACTAATGGTGTTGGCCTCTTTGATCATCACAGATAACTTCAAAGAATTCCAGTTAAGAGGAGCTAATAAAGAATAAAATGTTTAATAACATACACAATGATCAAGTAGTGTAATGCAACAACTTAAAGGTTTAAAACACAAAACAAAACCACACACGGCATCTTGTGTGGAATTTAACCATTTAGCTGCTCTGCATTTTCTCAGTAAGGAGGGGAGAGGAAAAAAAACAAAACTTCCCAAATAGACAACACTTGGGAAAAAACAGAAGAAAAATCAACCAAGAGAAAGGTATATGAAGAATAACAACTTCACATTAGATACTATAGATTAAGCTAATCTGATACAGGAGACTAAACAGAAGCAATTGTTACTCCAGTTTCTCCAGTGGATTAACTCCTAACTAGTTCAGCCAGACTGAGAAAGAAATCTTAAGTAATTGGGGTAAATATAGACTAGCTGGAAACCCACCAAACCACCCTGAGATTTTAGCACTGTCTTGGATCCACTGTTTCAGAAAAGTAAAGGATGGTAGCAGCCATAAGAGTCTTAATTTTCATGTTTGTTAAAAAACCATTAGAGGAAGAAAATCAGTTCGGGATCCACACACATTAAATGACTGTGCAAAACTGAGAAAACTGTGCAAAAGAGAAATCACTGCTCCTGCAACATTAAGTACATACTTACTATTCACAGTTCTATTCCCACTTGCACGATTCTTCTGAAGGTTTTGAATTTCTTCAGCAATCTTCTGTTTCTCATCTTCTAGAGCTTTAAGTATTTTTGCATGATGAATAGTATGATCTTCTAAAGCCTGAGGAAGAGAGAAAAAAAGATAGTATGAAACTCAGGAGTGCTTACTTATGTTTATACTTCGTTTTTCTGTTCTCACTGTAAGGACTTCTACAACAGAATCAAACGCATCTTCCACATCTGCCATCAGTATGAAACCTTTCATCTTCCATCTTTGGCAGGTTTCTTGTTTTGGTTAGATACTGAAATGTTTAAAAGAAATACAGAAATGAAAGAGAAGTAGCATAAAAAGCAAGCAATGAAATAGTAGTTGTTGCAGAAGTCAGACACATGAACACCAGTATAAAAAAGACTAATACTACATTTATTCTTAAGAGACCTTACTCTCTTGTTTTATAAATACCTGCTTAGTAGCTAGGGTCTCCATTTCCAAGCGCTTCTTGTTGAAGTGTAGTTCTAGCTCAAGATTTTGCTTTGCCTTCTCTAATTCCTGTATTTTACTTGCAGCCTTTTGATTGTTCAGTTCTTGCATTTCCTTCTTACGAGATTCTTCCCTCTAACATAATCAAGGACAGAGGGAAAGAGGTATGCCACTGCTAAAGTATTTCTGATCCGCTCCCTAAGCAGATATTAAGGTTTATTTTCACTTCAATACATTGAGAACAAGCAGCCCCTATGGAGAACAACACATACTAGAATAATACAACAACTTAGCTACAAAATTTTATTCTGTATGTCTTCTATGTTAGTTCATATACAAGTTACACTTCCATCAAATTTACACAGGATTATTTTGTTTCATGACTAATTACACATATTACAATCATAATGGATAGTTATATAATTATAATGTATTAAAAATTATATATAGCAAAATTTCTAGGATAATTCTGAAGAGAATACCTACTTAACTTCTTGAGTTAATAATCGTGACTTCATTTTTGTATTTATTTTCTAAATGAAGAATAAGGGTCAGAACTCCCTAAGATACTGTTACAGTATGCAAGACAAGAAGAGAAAAAAACAAACAAACAAAAAAAACCATAATATAACACACAACAAATACCTCCTGACATACTAATGTTTTTGTTTTACTACCTTCTGATTTACTCTGTTTTATTGGTAAGTTTTCTATAAAAACGCAGTGGCAACTTACCACCTCTGCTTCCAGTGACTTTATTTTGCTTTCATAAGCTTCTTTTTGTGATGTCAGTTCTTGTTGAACCATTTCTTTTGCGATTTGGACACTTTGCATCATTTCTTCCTTGGCTTTGAGTCGTGCTTCTTCAATTTCTGATTCAAGCCTAAAAGTACATATTTAGAATGCTGGCTTCAATCTCTTGCAGGCTGCATAGAGGTTAATCTTACCCACTTCTATTGTGACAGAAGGAATAATGCTAAATAGTCTCCAGTGTTAACAGTTAAGAAGTATTTTACAACTTCCATATTTTACCTAGGTATTTTTCATTTCATAGAGAAAACAGACACAGGGGGAAAGGGAAAAAGTATTTTACATTCTTCTTAACTTCCAGTTTTACTTCATTACATCTCGTTCAGAAAATTAAGAACTGTAACAGAAACTCACAAAATCATATTAAGATGTAGAAAAGTATATGTTAAGTCAATGCAACTTGCAGTTTAATAATTCCCAAGAAAGAAGCAACTAAGAATAAGGTGGCCTTTTCTCAAATTCTCCACCACCACAGTTGATCCAAGTTGTAACATCAATCTCATTTTTGTAGAATATTTGTTTTTCAGCCTGTCTGAAATCTCACAAGCAGGTTTCTGACATTATATATTTGGGGATACAGTGCAACTGAAGAGATACACTAATGTGGGGATCTCTGTAGTTTAACCTTTTCTACAGTAGTGGCCAGCATCCTCGGCAAGTGGACTAAACTGTGGTATCACCTCTTAAAAGTAAACATTCACTTCAGATACGCCTGGAAGTTGCGTTCCCATTACAAAACGAGTTAATAATAAACATTCCATTTTCCAGTTTTCACATAGACCAAAATAACGAGCAATCATAAGTTTCTTACCACTTCAAGCTACTCGAGAGTTGCAGTAACAACCGTGACTTAGTAAAAGGAAATAAAAGGAGGTACGCACTGTGCTCTCTGTGCAACAAGCAGCTCATTCTTCGCAAATTCAAAGTCTTTCGGACCATCGTGCAGAAGTGTAGTTCCACAGGACGGCCCTTTAATCTTCTGAACCTCTACTGGATGATTAAATCTGAAGTAATGATCTCCACCAAGGATCACTCGATCACCCTACAGGGGAGGAGAAAAAAAATTATACCATAACTTTTAGATTTACGGGCTTGAAACAGAGACGATAGGAGTAGAAATTGAGAAGAATTTAATTGCATCAGAGCCCTCTAAGAAAAACTGTACTCTGAAATTGGAATAGGAATACAGCTACAAAATCCACAGATGCATACATTCCTCTGTTATGAAGTCAGCTACTCACATGATGCAGAACTGTTGGGTTTACAATGCAGTTCCCATTTATGTATGTCTTAGCTTCTCTCAGTGGAATAATACTCACATGGCCGGCAGTATTTTTTATAACACTGAAAACAACAAACATTTGTTACATCAGTAGCTTACGTTAATTGCAATAGACTAAAAATCAATACTTTATACAGAGTCTTATTTTCCTTTTTCTGGATGCAAATTGTCTTTGTATTGTTTAGTTACAACATTACACAAACATTACACAGTGAGAATTGTAAAGGCATTTCACTAAGCATTAAGTTCAATGGGAAAGAATTATCATACTCAGAATCATTAGATCAGGACCTTGTGCAAGATTTTTACACGAATAGAATAGATTTCAATACATTAATAAAACATACAACAAAATTGAACTGCTTAGCTTAATACCTTACTAAGGAGAAATAGAAGCAAGCTTCCTTAATCAGTGAACACCGGAAAAATTATCTTCTGTAGTTAGAAAGCCATATTTTGCTACTGCCAGAAGGAAGAGCAACTCCAAAAGCAAAGCCAAGATCAAAAGTACTTCCTAATTTGGCATAGATAATAAAAGAAAAAAAAAACTTCAAAGAATACTACATACCAGTGATCATCAGCAATTAGTACGCCGGAAAGCTGGATGTCATGTTTTGAATTTGCTGTATACCTTCCAACTGTAGTTTCTCCTTCTTTAATCATATACAGCAGCACTTCAGAAAGCTGGGGATCTTCATTCAGATTGACAAGGTTTGGTAAACGATTGTCCATTTTGAATGCAATTCCTGCTTTCTAGATAAAAGATGTCAGCAAAAAAGACTATTTTATCTATCCCAATATCTACATCATTCTGTTAATAAAAAAAAAAAAAAACAGCATTGAGGAAAGCAAATCTTGAAAGTACTCTAATTCTTCTGCAACGATTGCTGATGTCATCTTTCCTGTATTATTTGCTATGTAAAGTGAAGGGTAAAGTGAAAGAAAAAAAAAAAACATACCTGTAATTCTTTTATATCTTCTAGCTTTCTTTTTTCTGCTTGCTCAAATTTCGCTTTCCAAGCCCTTAACATATTAAGGGAAAATATAACACTGCCTTAAGAACAAGTTTGAAGTATATAAATTTTACTATTTGCTATTTAAACACACGTTATTGACTACCTTACCTTTGCATTTCTGTCATGTCCCTTTCCTGCTGGTGCAATTTTATCCTCAGAGATGTTATTTCTTGCAAATAATGTCTGTATTTTTCAGGATCCCTGTTCTGAGCACTCTTCTGAGCTGCCTTCAGTTTTTCAATTTCAGCTCTCAGCTCTACATTAGGCAAACCAAAACCAAATAACAAAAAACTATAGATATGACAGAGTTTAGATACTTCAGAACAATACTAGAATATTCATCCCGATATCTTAAAGACAAGCAAAACATCTTTCCCTATTCCAGGTTCTCAATTGTAGCTAAAGAGATTGTTGTACCTTTGTATAACAAAAATTAAAACAACTGAAAACACACAGGAGAAAACCACCCACAACTCACAAAGCAGCATAATGTTAGGAAGAAAAATATATCCTAGTAGCCTAGTGAAGGGTTTATACACAAAAAGCAGAGAGGAAAATTATTTTTAAGATTACAGAGCAGTTGAATAGCATGTATTAAGAAAAACTGAACACAACCAATACTCAAAGGTGAGTGTTACTTTGGGGGCACACCAAACTGCTATTTATAAAAGTATCCCTATTTTAAAGAGTTCACGAAACTGAAAAACTTCCTCCAAGATGATGGTGTCTGACTTTCTAAACAAAATTGATTAGAAAACATTTGAAGAGTAAAGAAATCAGTGGTCAGTCAGCACAATTATTAGTATTCATGTCTCTCAAGGAGCAGTAAATTTAACAGAAATGAAAAAAGGTCTTAAAGACTGCAGATGTCAACCTCACCTCTGATTAACTTGGCATTCACATCTTCATTTACTTTAGCCACGTTGATAATTGAACATGCTTGTTTTGCATAGCGAAGAGTGCTGAGTGTTTCTTCTGTACTGCTGGCAGCTGGACTTATTGTGGCAATCATAGCAGTTTGTGAATTTCCACCAAGGCTTTCTTTTAATAACCTTTATTTGATGGGAAATTAGAAGTACATCATACAAAATACCTGTATCTTGCTACTTTGAAAGTAGTTAGAGTGTGATTGTCAGCTAACTTAGAACACAAAGGTCATATTGCTCTTTACTTGATTCAGAAGGCTAGTTTATTTCTCCCTGTATGCCATTTTGGTAAGCAAGTTTCAGATGTCTAAGCAGAAAGGAAAATTGCTCTGGGTGCAGTAACATACAAATTGCTCTAAGAGCAAGCCACATGTTCAAAGTTTTTTCTTTACCTGAACATTGCTTTGGAAATAGCACCATTATGGGGGAATAATTTTTCTGCTATGCCACCGAAGCACATGCCTCAGTTCAAATCATGTAAAACACTTCGTAGCAATCCTGTCACAATTAACACAAGCAGCATTACAGAACTCAAGGTTTTGATGCATGACAACATAACAAGAGAGTAATTAAAAAATAGACCATACAAAATGCAAAAGAGATACAGAATTACTTCAGTGGTAAGATGGACTAGGAGCAGCACCAAAGTGAGGATACAGTCTGAAAGATGTACTAACATCTTCTGTAACAAACACAGAGGAAGAGAGACAATAAGTGTACTAAGCCCCAAATCAGAGATTGAATAATTATACCTACCCAGCTCCTCCTATCAATCTACTTCCGCACAGAGGGAAAAGGAAGAAATACCTTCTGGAGGGAGAATTCACAACCCAAGAAAACCTTTTACTGCCACATAAAAAAAAAAAGCCTGGAGCATACATACCAAGTAAGGACAGATTCCCGGTAAGGAATGAAAGTTTTCTTCCCATTTCGTGACAGCTTGGAGAGTGCAGAAATGACTTTTCCAAGGGTTAACAGTGATTTATTAATACTCACACCCTCCTACACAAAGCAAAAATAAAAAAACTACAATTGTATTTGCTTGTGTGATGCTGTTGATTCTGTTGATTTACTCATGCTTATTTAATGTATGCTGTATCAAATGTCACCACTGATTAAAAAACAAGATGCAAAAGTACTCTTCTTCTTCTCTTGGAAATAAGAGACCCTGGTCTTTAATAGTCTTAAGAACTATTAACCTAACATAGGCAGGTTGACAAGTTGTCTCTTAATAGAAACTCTATTTATTTAAATTCCAAAAATGGCAAAGTCCCAACTGTGCAAAATCTGATTCACTAATTTGCAAGTCAGCTGCTCATGCTCATTCACTCACGCCTGTCAGAGGATCATTAGGCCTGCACAGCAAAGGGAGTGCTCTCCCGGGCAAGATCTGGCCTGCCATACAGCACAGTCAAAATACACTTTAAGGCTGCTTGCCATCATTGGCAAAATACTGTACAAAAAAAACTTATAAGCATAAGGGCTACATGTCCTTTTATGACAACTCTTGTCCAAAAGCCTTGGTAGAGGAGGATATTTCAGAGTTAAAGGTTAGAGGCACTCTTGTGAAGAAAATCTTTTTCCTCCCCACAGATATCAAGTTGTGATTTACCTTCAGCCTTTCTCCAGTGGTCTGAGCTGTAGAGCAGCATTCACTGCCAGCTAAATCAATTAGATTTACATGGCTGGTAAGCCTGTGATCACGTTGCTCTTCATCCACCTGGAAAAATTGGAGAACTTTATGTTTAACTCAATATAAAATATCTGAGGACAAGCAGAGATTGACCGAGTTTTTCACTTTATAACAAATAAATAAACCAAAAAACATTAACATTACTATTTACTTTTTGACAGAATACTTTCATGTACATCCCATTAAGGAGATTAAGTCCACACAATGAACCATAGCATCAAGAGTTTACATGTGCATAATTGCATAAGCAAAGAACTGCACAAAAACAGACATTTAAAACTACAGCTCAGTGCTCATGCTTGACTGTTGCCTCTATCATCTAAACAACCAGGGGGAAGATCTTAGGACTAGTCCTGATAGAAGAAAATCTAGTGTTGTGAAGAGTGAGCTGAAGGATAACAGGCCTTAAGTAATTGGGCAGAGGACAATTAAGGACAATTAAAGAACAAAAAGCCACACCCAAGTTACTTGTAAATGAGAAAACTGTCAGTCACTAGACTTCTGAGGAGCTCCACTTATTTTATCTCACTAAGTCAGTATTACCTCACTAAGTCAGGTTTTCTCTCTTAAGTACCTGTAAATCAAACAGGAAGTTGTAGTGCCTGTATCCCAGAGATGAAAGCATGATACAGGTGTCCTGAACTACTTAAAACCACTCCTAGATCTGTCAGTCTAGGCGTATTTATATGATTTCTATAAATACATACAAGCACAGAGATAACAGAACATACTCAAAGTATGTAAAAAAAACAAAAACAAAAACAATTTAACTATGTAGAAACCCATGTTAAAATGCACCCATTCATGTATACTTGCCCCATTTTCTAGGCAGCGCTCAAAACAATTTTCTACTATGCAAGTTGAACAGATAATTCAGAATAAAACACCCAGCAATACCTTGGTTTGTGTCATAACAAGAGTGAGGACAGAATGAGATCTAGAACTTTTGTCATTCATTACTGTAGCAGCTGTTGCTCTCTGCTTATTTCCCAGTTCAAGCCAACTCTGTAGGAGAAAAGAAATCAACTTTTTGGTGCACTCTGGGGAGTTAACTGCAGTTTAGAATATTTGCAAATCAAATTATTGACACAGATGATGGATCCATACGGGTGGAATCACAACTTCACTATATTAAGAGCATGATACTTGCTTGTATTTGTCTGCTCAGCTCCAAGGCACAGGTCTGGTGCTTGCTGTACTTTCACATCTGCTGAAACGTCAGAGTGCTGAGCAACCTGCAAACCTTTTTCTTCCCTTCCATGGAATTTTGCTTTCAGCAAAGGAATAAGGAAGTAGAAATACAACTGAACAACTCTTACCTGGATATCTGAGTAAGAACTGACAACATTCCTAAAGTGAGGAGGGGAAAAAATAAGATTTAGACTCGTCTTTCAACAATTTTACCTATTGTGTGCATTTTGAAATACTTCTTAAGTTAAGGAGAAAATACCAATACATCACAAAAGTTGCAGTTGTCCTGAGACTGCCATTGTTTCTAAGGACTGTAAAATAATTCTAATTGTATTATAGCCAATGGAAATACAGCAAGCCAAGCTAGACTGTGTGAAATTAAGATACTGTCTAATTCTCTGGTGAGCACAAAAACTTAGAATCTCAAGATAATAACACAGTATGCCAGGTCTATGCTGTGCATCTACTAAATCACAAATTGCTTAAGGTTGGAGGGGACCTCTGGAGGTCATCTGACCCACCCTCCTGCTCAAGGAGACCTCCAAGAACAAGCTGCACATCTAAACAGCTTTAGAAGATTGCCAAGGAGTGAGACTCCACAACCTCTTAGGGCAAACAGTGCCAGTGATGTCACTCACACAGTAAAGCAGCACTTTCTGATGTAGGAACTACTTCCGAGAATAGTTAAGACTTACACTGTTAGGTCTTCCACATATGGTCCTAACACTGGATGTTCTCTTACACGAAGCTGGAAAGAACATCAGAGGAAAAAAAAAACAACCTATTAAGTGTGCATTACTTGGAATTACCTTAGAAATAAGTAGCAGTTTCTGTACATGCTTAACACAAAGTCTCATGCTAGATTTTGTTGATTATCATCATCTACAACAATGTTTTCAGGATAATAGCAACAGCTGAGTGTATCTACCTGCAGAAGAAATCATAGCAGTTGCTCTAGATTATTGCTTACAGAGCTACCTCCAAGAATATTTGGATAAAACTACAAAATAACTACGATATCAAATTAGAGATTTATATTTAAAAAAAACCACCACCATTCATGCCGCAATATACATTTTCAACTTAAACAGCTTGGCTCAAAACCACAGACAAAACTCAGCTGAATGTACACCTGCTGTAAACCATACCAGGTAGTCTTTACACGTGACTAGTTGACAACAGTCTGTAGTTTTGGATAAATGACTTATTTCAACAGCAAGTCAAATACACTTTATCTTCTCTCCCAAACTAAAACTCACACTTTACAAACAAGATTTGGACAGTGCACTGCTCAATACTGCCAAGCACAGAAAGCAGGTGGTTTTTTTAGCAGGTGGATTTTTTTGTTGATGTTGTTTACTTTAGTTTTTTAATAAATCTAGTGTGATGAATTCCTTCTCTTCATCTCTTGTTCACAACAATTTCTTTAGCTTATCGTTTTACAAATTCTAGCACAGATATTAAAATGAGCTAAGCTAGTTTTCACTAACAATCCTTAACTAGTTACTTGATTACTGAATGCCCCCATCCACCCCCATTCCAGTTTCTTAAGAAATGAAACAAAAGTAAAACCATATAACAGCAACAACAAACAAAACAAAGGAACTTCCTGCCAGCCCTGGAACTCTAAGCAGTACATTACCCAGGGCAAAATACCTGCATGAAGTTCGCCATTTTTCCCTAAGCTTTTACACAATACTATTTTTCTATACCTGAGCAACATAAACACACAAAGGAAACTAAGTGGATAGGAATTCTCCCTTTGCAAATAATTTTTTTCCCCTTAATATACTACTGACCACAAATAGATACTGAAGATCAGTAGTGAACAAGCATCTCAGAAGAAAAACAATAAATAAATATTTTCAGAAGTGAATGGGCATGTCAATAGGATCAAGAACTAAGGAGAGTGCTGGCTCAAAACATGTTTTGAATGGTTTAGAAGCTGTTCTCAATGCTGTATATATTCATACATATACACATACATACACACAAAAGCCATTTATATGCCTTGCCACCGATCAAGTCATGCAAGCAAGGTTTTGTTTACCTTGAATCTTATTAGCTATCTGAAGCATTTAGATAACAAAGATAATCACTCATCCATTACACATGACCATTTACAAAAAAAAAAAACAACACTGTTTTGACATTGTGTATATACTTGTTTCTGAGGGTAACTTACTGGCTGTTTCTTCTGTCTGCTTTCAGCTTTGAAGACAAGGAGATCATGAATTTTCTCATTGTAAACTTCAAAATAGCTCATTTCAAGGTGATACAAGACCTAATAACAACAACAACAAGGTTCATTCATCTTGTCCAAGACACTTTTTCAAACGTTCTTTCTCCCTTGAAAACTAAAACAGATGATGAGATCCTGCTGTTCATTATGATTCTCAAAGCTTACCACTGCTACACCAATTCAAGAGAAACAGAACGTAACCCTTCTTTAAGGCACTATGGAAATGGTCACAACTGCTTACTAATCCACTGAACAAGATTTGATTTGGATAGGAATTCCAATCAAAAGGAACTGTGATCTCAATAAAAAAATCTCACCTTCTATTACAAAGCCCTCTCTGTCATACAGAGTTACGTACAAATAAAGGTCTATTCTCAAAACACAGAAGGAAACATTATTTACAACGAGATTTTTTAGAATGTTAACAATTCAGGTGGGGATAATTGAACTTTCCTTTAAGTAATTTCCCCAGGAATACTGAAGTAGAAAATCAGAATTGGAAAACTCCTCAAGCAGATTTCAGACTGCTGTGTGACAGCACTGAAAGATGAATTCACATGCTTTGAATTTTATTCTATGTTACATTTTTTTTAAACAACATTGTCACTAATGAAGCAAAACAAATGTTGATTTGGACTATTCAAAGAAATCTGCTAATCAGAGCTACTAGCAGAAAGATTTGTATCACCAATAAAATGTAGGCATCAATAAGCAGATAAACATGAGGGTATAAAGCAAAAGAATGAAACAGGTAAAGATACTGAACTGAACCACTCTACTCACAATTCTGCATAAGCTGAGCTGCATAATCATCCTACCTGTTGCTGGTCCATCTGTGCTATCCGAGTGAAAAGATCTTCACAAAGTCTTGGAATTATCCCCCGGTCTTCACCAAAGCCCATCATCCTGTAGTTATTACAAAATGTTAGTTTCATTTTCTAACTCCTTATAGCTAATTTTAATATTATTTGTACACATGGAATACAGAAAGGGTTGAAGGTAAGTGATTTTTTTTTTTTAATCTGAAAGCACAGGAAAAGAAAAAGAATACTATAAATAGGATAACAACTGCAATAGTACTGAGCATATCTTCTTCTAGGCCAAAGCAAGTAAATACTACAGGTACATTTTAAGATCCCACTTAAAAAGACAGTCATGCCTCTGTGAATGTTACATATCTACGATTAAGAGAATAGAAACATCACATGATGCTAAATTGGATAAAAACATTTCTGATCCTCAACTACACATTTAAAATTTTAAAACACTTCACCAGAATCATAAAGATCATGGAAATGGTTTTAATAGATGCGTGGCTGGGAAGAAAAAGCTTTCTAGGCATTCTAGTGAAAAATACACACAAAGTACATAAGCTTGGCTGTCAAAGCCCAAAATACTATTTGTCTGGGTTTATTGTGTGTAAAGTTGTGGGGTTTTTTGTTTGTTTGTTTTTTGTTTTGTTTTTGGTTTGGTTTTGGTTGTTTTTGTTTTTTTTTTGTTGGCTGGTTACAGTCAACATCAGATATACTGGGACAGTGTTACCTGTACTAAGTAACTAAGTAAGTAAATATTAATGCCTCTGTTTTATTCTTTTAAAATATGTGACAATATTTAATACATTTTAATAGCTAATCAATCTGTAGCACAATCTCTTTTCATACTTCACGTTGAATAGTAAGCAGCTGAATAGTAAGACTGTAAGAATTGTATTTAGGACTTACGTGTATGATTTTCCAGAGCCAGTCTGCCCATAAGCAAAAAGACAAGTGTTGTACCCCTCAAAAGCTCTTTCCAGTAGTGGCAATGCCAAAGTTTTGTAAATCATTTCTTGGCTTGCAAAGTTAGGATGACACTTGTCAAAAGACCAAAAAGAGAAGTCATAACTGAAGCTGTAGAGTTGGTTTGTGCTTGGATTTCGTACAGATGTCTCTGATCCGCTCATAGATACCACAGGGAGCAAGTTCTCATTTTTCTCTCTGAATGGAAGAACGAAAATAAATACAAAGATGAAAAAGTGTAAGCTACATTCCTTACATTAGCTTCTTCAGTCAATTTCATCATGAAAATAAAAAGATGGGCAATCATCAGTTAAAAAAAAAAATTAAAAGTATTCAAGCTCAAAATACTTCAAATAATGACTAGTTAAAGAACAGACTCAAGCTGCAATAAAACAAATTCAGCCTCTTAAAACCTTTACCTTGATGTAGAAATATTTGCTAATTTTGCTATGTATTAAACATTATTGAGCCTATGGAAAAATAAAAAACCAAAAAAACAAGACGGAAACCAATGTACACTGCTGTTGTTGTTCAACCCAATCAGCTCAGCTGGTGCTGAGCAGCTTTTCACATGCTCTCCCCTCCCAGCAGGATGGGGGAAGATGATAAAGCAAAGCAAAACAAAAAGAAACAATGAAGTAGAACACGTGGGTTGTGATAATAACATAATATGTATTTACAAACCAAGCGATGGACAACACAATTGCTCACCACTCACCAACCAGTGCCCAGCTACTCCCCAACAGCAGCTGCCCATCCAGCCAACCCCCCCTTAGTTTTTTCACACGACAACGAGTGGTATGGAACATCCCTTTGGCCAGCTTAAGCCCTGGTTCTGTTCCCTCCCATCTCCTGTGACCCTCAGCCCCTTGCTGGCAGGACAGCACCAGAAGCTGAGAAACTGAAACACCCTTGGCTCTGTGTTTTAGCAACCGATAAAACATTTGTGTTATCAACACTGGTTTACTCGTAAAGCCAAAACACAGCCTCATATCAGGTGCTGTGAAGACAATCAACTCTGTCCCAGCTGAAACCAGAAAAAAAAATATAGAAGTTATTAGGTAGCATCAGAGACAAGACTATGATACAAACCTACTACTGAAAGGCCGCACACGCACAGCTACGACGACTTTACTGTTTTCTACTTTGAAAATATCTTTCTCAATGCTGTTGCTTTCAGCTAGAATTTCAGCATTCTCGTCTGCTTTTGCACTTCTACCCACAGGAGGAGAGCTTGTTTTCTTTCCTGACACAGTTGGAAGATTGGCTGTTTGTTTACTTGAAGCAGATAGAGATGACTTAACCTGAAAAGTGCTGTTCTTTGGTGTAAGCTTAAATTCTTCTGTCCAAGCTTTTGTTGGCGTCCTTGGTCTTTCCAAGCTGTTATGCTTTAACTGTTGTAACCTTGGCTTTCTATCCATTCTTCTTATATCACCTTGTTCGTTCAGCTGCTCTCCTGATATCTGATTAACATATTTTGAGGTAGCTATTTGTTCTGATATTGGCACTTCTTTTTCAAGTTTTGCATCAGCAGTGCTTGTCCTACATTTTGAGTGCACACAGCCATTGTTTTCAACACTGCCAAACAAATCCTTGCTATTAGACTGATAACTCAACTTTGTAACTTGTTGACTCTCAGCTGACTTACAGCTTGGTTTAATATAACAGGTATCATTATTACTAATATCACATTGGAGTGCAATCTTATATTTTCCCTCAGGATCAAAGACTTTGTTTTCTGCACCAGACATGGTATTCCCATTAATTGTACTCTTTTCTACAGAGCCACTCTTCACACGCCTCTGCAGGGTAAGCCTTTTCTCCATTTGCTTATTCTCTGTGCCCTGGGGTGTATTTTTACCAGATTGTTCACTACTTGATGCCAAATTTTTGCTTGTTCTAGTTCTCCTCTGGAGCGTTAACCTGTCCTGAGGTTTCAGTGTAAGCGATGCATCATCCACATTTTTGCAGGCCGAAATCACATAGGTCCTATTTATTTCCTCAGACTTATTCTGGGAACACGACAGAAGACTGTCCTGGTCTTTTTCTGATACCTTTGATGTCAGTTGCTGCCCCAACATTTTGCTGCTGGCTAAGGCATTTTGTGAAGCTATCTTCTGTGAAGTGGTAGTACGTGGTACTTTATAGGTCTTGCTTACAGAAACTATGTGAACAGGCATTTTGTCTTCAGACAAGTTAACATTAGGACTACAGTAAATACAACTGCTTCCTAAAATATTATATTTAGTTGCTTCTTCTCACAGAACCTGGAAAAGATAAAGCAATAATTTTGTTATGTTTATGACAGATGTGAGTTATACTTCAGGGAACTGGCAGCTCCTCATATATACTTTATATACCTTATATATAAGTAAATGTATGTTCCCAGATATCAGTAACAATCAGCATCCTCTATTTTACATCCAGTACTTAAATACTAATTTATATTTGAGTGACTATTTTCACCAGCTATTTGACTCTTTTTATGGAGTTCTACCATTTGCTTCAGAAACATCAGAAGGAGCAGCATCAGTGCAAAGACCAAAGGGATTACTTAGTAACAAAGATGAGCACAGACATAATTTCAGGCGAGTCCCAAGGACTCCTAAGCAAAGGGAACATGAAGTCGTGCCTCCATCACTCAGAACTGCTCACACCTGTGGTGTTTGACAGATACCAACAGAACAACACCGTTAACAGCAGGACACTGCAAACAAAGCGGGTTCTACCGGGATTCTGATGCACAACATGAAAGTTAGTAACAAAATATGTTAACAAAGTTATTTCATACAAGATCTTATTTTAGACCACTCTATTCCATTCTCACACGGCAAAGGCACAAGACAACTAAGCCAAGGAATGAAAGAAAAGCGGTATGGCTATCGTCTTTTTCACATTACTCGTCTTAAAAGCAAGCAGACAACGAAACCACGCTTCTCCCGCAGAGCGGGAAGCCGTAGCCGCCCAGCCTCCACAGGAACACACCGTTACAGGTCCGCCATCACCACCCCCTGCGCACCTGTCAGCTGCTACCAAACTGCCGTGAAATGCCAACAAGAAATCCCCCGCCCTTCGATTCTTCCAGAATCGTATCGCCAGCAGGCAGAAAAAGCGAGCGGTCGGGGAAAAAAGGGATCTCTGGCGACGAGGAAGCGTCAGGCTAAGCGCTGCTCCAACGGCAGTTTCCTTTAACGCTGCACTTCACAGTTACAGCTTTCGGAGCGCGCTCCCTCAGCCCCCGAGCTGCGCCGGGACCGGCCGCCCCAGCAACGGCCCGTCCCCTGCGGGCAGCCTGAGGAAGACCCATCCCCGCTGCGACAGGAAGCCCCGGCCCTCCCCTCGGCCGCCCCGCTCACCCTCCGTCTCGCCTCCGCGCGCCCCGACCGCGGCTCGCGTCCTCCTCCCGCCCCGTTTGAATGTGCCGGGCCCGGGGGATTGGCTCGCGCCGGGAGCGGCGTCACGGAGGGGCGGGGCCGAGGCGGCCCGGAGCTTCCGCGCCGCCGCCGGCGGGGCCGGGCCGCGGAAAAGCACCGCGAGCGCCGCGCAGTGCGGGAGCCCCTCGCGCAGCACGGCGGCGGCACGAAGCCAGCCTGTGCCTCACAGCACCGGGACGCGGCGCGCAGGGGAGCGCCTCATCGTCTCGTGACGTCTCTACAGAAGCACAGCGGGCGCTCCCTGAAGGCTGAAAACGTTTTACGACACGTTTGCTGCGTAAATTTCTAAGTACTGCGTTTAGAAGCAACTGAGACGTTTTTAAAGCGCCCAGCAGAGGGAGACAAAAGCCAAAGCAAGGGAAAAAGGTACCAACCGTCATTTCTCGAGCCTCAGTCTAAAACAACAAAAAAAAGGAAGTTTCAATTATGACCAGCCTCCAACCGTGGACGATAAGTAGTAACATGTAGTAACACCAGCTATCCCAACACTTGCTACCACCACTCTAAGTAACGCTATTTCCATAGCTTTGGTCTGGTTTCCTGGAAGAAAACCAGTGCCAGAGAAAGGCAAGAATTGCACATAAACGAGTAGCAAATGGATACGATCACTTACATATTAACAACTATAATGGTTCATGACAAAAACAACCAACCAAACAAACAAAAAAAAACCACAGATTTCTTCCTTAACTTACCTGGTTTATCCCATTTTGCTACAAAGATATACTAACAGCCAGGTATTGCAAAAGATGAGATAAAAGTGAGACATTAGAAAATCAGATTTTTTTAAAAAAAGAAATACAGAGAGACATGAAAATTGCACATTTATTTTTATCACAGTTGCATAATAATTACAAAGTTTGCTTTATATTTGTTACCTCAGAGAATTATTTTTGTCATGTTTTCTAATGATGTCCATAATATTATCCCCTGTTACAAGGCTATTTTCTAATTGTTTAAGTCTCTGCTGTTCCCTTCTCTTTTGGTCATGTAGATATGGGGAATTAAGCAGCTGCGGGGGAAGAATAGTGCCTGTTGGTTTTACCCTCTTCACAACATCCCAGAAGAGTTTCTTGCTGTTGTTATTGATAAAAGTAATCGCAGTTCCACTGTGACCCAGCCTCCCTGCTCTTCCAACCTGAAAAAGCAACATCTCAGTTTAAGTTATTAAAGCTCAGTTTAATATCAAGTACAATTTCCTCATATCTCCTTATTTTCTGTTATAAAACACAGGTAGGTATTCAGGAATTTATGTAAATGACAATATCTTCACCTCATCTTCTACACACAAAAATTCAATACACATCCTAGATTTGAGATACACTGATCAGAAGCTTTAATTTAAATGCACGAAAAATTACTATTTGCTTATGGGACATAGCAGAAATCCAACGTTAATACTGAGATTTCATAGAACTACAGAATCCTAGTTTTTCAAATGCTATATCAACACCACATACATGTGCCTTGTTTTCTGTACAATATGTGCAAGTTTCATCATAATAAAAGCCCTGTACTTGCAATGATCTTGAGACAAAATTATTTCTCTGTGTCATCCAAAGTGCTCAAGAATTAGAAAAGAATCTAAAAAGATTCTCTAATTACAAAAAAAAAAAAAAATAAAATACTATTTTAGCACCAGTACAGTTCTGTTATTTATTGACTACTTGCTGAAGTACAAAAATAATAAAAAAATAAAGCAGTGTACTGCAGTTAGTAACATGAAATAATTGAGGTTAGAAGGACTTCTGAAAGTCACCCAGTCCAAACTCCCATCCCAAACAAGGCTAACCAAATTTAGATCGAGTTGCTCAGGACCCTGTCCTGCTGAATTGTGAATGTTCCCGAAGACAGAGGTTCCACAACCACTCTGAGCAACTTGTTTCATTGCCTTAACACACTCTCCATGAAAATGACCTTCCCTTTTACCTGGTCAGAATTTCCCTTGCAGCAAGTTGTGACCATTGTTTCTTAGCCTTTCACAGCAGATCTCCAAGAACAGCTTGGCTCCATCTGCTCTGTAACCATCCATTATCACAGCAATTAATTCTACTCTAAGCCTTCTCTTCTCCAGCCCCAACAAGTCCATCTCCCTTAATCTCTTCATCTAAGACACAGTATTTCCATAAGTGGATGTCATATTTCAGTATACTTTCAAATTAATACTTCAACAAATGACAGAATATTTTGGTTTTTACCTGATGTACATATTCATCCATACTTGAAGGCATATCAAAATTTACGACCAGTTTGACATTGACAAGGTCAAGTCCTCGTCCAAGGACTCCAGTACTTACTATCACTTCATACTTCTCTTGAAGTAATCCCTGACAGGGGAGGAAAAAAAATATTTTTTTATTTATCTGCTTTTCAAACATGAAATCTTCTGTTGGCCAATGTGTTTATTCTATTACAGAAGACAGAATGATCCCTCGTATTCTTGATTTAAATAGGAGTATTACTTCCAAAGAGCAAAAGAGAGACCAGAACCCACGTTTTAATTATAAAAGCATCAATTAAGGTGAAATGTATATTTACATTCCTGTTTCAAAGCAAATAAGCTAGGAAATAGGTGTCCAGTATTTATCTGCATTTGAAATAACCTCATCTGTAATTTTACCTGGTCCCACACCTCTCTCCTCTTTTCCCCCACAAATACTTCATATTTAACCACAGAAAAACAGTAAACTATAATCTAATTAAGCCATTAAACAAAAAGCCACTTTCTATCTATCAAGAATCTAAAAACGTCAGGAGGCACAGACCTGTAATATGGCTGTCCTTTCCACCTGAGATTTTTCAGAATGCATAGATGTACATTGTAATCCTGTAATCTTATGAACTGCGTCACTCAGCAGATCTGCTCCTAGCTTGCAGTCCACAAATACCAACACTGGAGGCTTGAAAAGTTTCTTATCCTGTAAAATGGAAATAAGAAGGTACCACAGGTTGTTGCTCATCATCAAGAACTCTGATTTGATCTTCACTGCTCAATGTCTATAGCAGTAATATCTCTTCCAGATGAGTAAACATTCTTAAATTCCAGACAAGAAGCCACAAGACAGCAGCCATCAGCACAATTTCATACATCATAAACATATAAGATTTGTAAGTTCAGAACCCAAGTTTATCTCAATAACATGCACATTTTATAAGTAGGGAGCTCTCTTGAAAAAAAAAAGTTACATTACACTTCTGAATTTCTTTACGTTCTGATATTCAGTTAAAAATTCTTATTTATTTCTTGCATAACCCAGGTCAAGACTCCCCCCTTCCATCCCTTCTGTATTCCTAAAGTACACATAAGTAATTGAGGCCTGCAATATTTATATACAGAAAATTCAAGAAAGAACTAAATTAGCATTCTTTGTTTTCTAATTACCTTTAAAATGACAAACAACTCCTAGGCCATAAAGCAGCTGTGACAGTTTTAACAAGTCCTTTTCTTCCACCACACACAGATAATCAATACAAATCTTTAAGGTGCCATTCTGCAGATCACCAAAAATACCAAAATGATGATTTTAAACTTAGTTCTAAGAACAGGAACGTAGTCTGCTGCTGCAGAAGGATGTGTGAGTGGCAGGGGTAGAGTACTTCCTAAAATTGCCAATGAAGTCCTCGCGCTGCAGCACTGTTGAGCGTGTAACTGCACTATTTCAACATCACCCTCTTCTTCACTACATACAGATCAGAATCAAAGACGAGAACCTGACAGAGCATTGTGAAAACAGACAAACTTTTAAAAATGTCCTATGAGAACAACATTGCACTTACGTTTAGTATTTCAAACAGTTTCTTCTTTTTAGATGGTTCTTCCACCCATAAAATAATCTGGCGCACATTGGAACATGGTAGATTCTTTTCTCCAATTGTTATTCTTACAAAATCGTGCAGAAGCTGATTTGCTAAGTGTTCAATACCCACTGGGATTGTGGCTGACACCAGTATAGTTTGATGATCATGAGAGATGTCTTCCAAAATATCCAACACTTGTTGCTGGAAACCCATTTTTAACATAGTATCCACCTAAGTAAAAAATACTGTATCTGTATCAGAATTCTCAATAAACAGAATAAACAGCATAAACCTGAACTTGAAAAGAAAAATGACCCATGATGCATATGATTGGTGTGTAATAATCCCAAGGCAGTAGAAACTTCAGTTAGAAGAAAAGCTATATAGGAAAATTGAAAATAACTGGCTCAAAGTAGCATTGTCCCAGCTGTCAGATATGGAAGTTTTTTACAGTCAATAGAATATGCATTGTTCAAACATCTCAAATTGTTAGAGGTGAAATTTTCTCATAACAAATATATTTCATCTTTACAGTGAACATTCTACGTGTATGATCATCTGAAAATGCACCCACAACGACTCTCTATAAGGATCTCTGTACATACAATATAGCTTTGAGAATTAACAAACTTACTTCATCCACTACTATGATTTTTATGCCATGCAGTTGTACAGAATTTTGCCTTACAATCTCTAGAAGTCTTCCAGGTGTTGCTATTACAACCTGACAAAAGACAAAAGGAAAAAATCTGTTAAAGGAGAGAAAAAAAACTGGAAAAAACTATGAAGTTACAGCACTGAGGTGAGAATGATGATAATTACTGAAGCTACTTATGTTCAAATAAACCTCTAAGTTTCTCTAGGTAACTTAATTATGAAGTCTCAAAAGGAAATGGGTTTCTTAGTACTCTAATGGAAACATCTAAATACCAGCCGTGTAATCTAATCTGCATTAAAAAAAAAGAACTGTTTTTGACCTTACCTACAACTCTGTCTACAAAAATGGCATATTTCACTAATTGAAAATAGCAATATGATGTGTGATCCTTTCCAAAACAACAACTATCTTTACTACATTCAATCAGAAGTAAAACGTAAAGAATTATTAGTTTATACTATTATAAAATTTTCAAAAGCTAACAGTTATTTCAGTAGCTTACACATACTCAGGAAAAACTCTGCATCTATGCATATACAGCTACATCAACAGTCACATTTTTCTTTTCTGCAAATGTTGTGAAAACACAACTCTCCAGAGCACCTTTGCACACTGCAGTCCTTACCTTGACACTTTGCTTGAGACGATGAAGCTGTGGTGGCAATGGTAAACCTCCTACCAGGAGAACTGTTCTCATGTTTGGTAAACCAGCCATGAGTTCTTTAGCTTGTCTTTCTATCTGAATTGCTAACTCTCTTGTTGGTGCCAAAATAAGGGCTGACGGAGTTTCTGTCTACAGAGAAAGGGGAGGTAAGAAATCTGTTGAACACAGAACTGCTTCATTGTTTAGGTAAAAAGCTTTCAAGACTACCTCTCCCAGTACTGAAATACAAAATATGTAGCGCAGCTACTGTGGATACAGTTAGACTGCTAATGCCTTTTCTATCTGAAGCAGGAAGGTAGAAAAAAAGATTCCTGACAATGAAAAAAAAAAAAAAAAAAAAAAAAAAAAAGGCCCAGAAAGGAATCCAAGCAGTGCTTTGTTTTGTTATTTTTGTGTTTTAGTTATTGCAACTGAAATTACAAAAGAATTCAAATTCCACACGAACTCAAAACCCAGGATGCTAGCTAAATCCAGACAGATTACAAACATTTTAGAAGTCTTGATATCACAGGAACTCAATATTTCTCCTTATCGTTTTAAACACCACTGGGACTAAGCAAATCAATAAGTATTAGACAGAGAGGACAAATACCAATAGGACACCCACACAGCAAAAACATCTCACAGAAAACTTCAAAACAAAATCAATAACCCCTCTCACCCACTTATAATCAGCCAGACAGAGACTAAATACAAAATTGCTACTGTCTTTAAACATCTTTTTGTTCCCTATTTAAGGATCTTCAAATTATCACCTCCTCCTGCAAATCCAGAAAACACAAGATTATAGTACAGCAATTCCTCTCAGATAACAGTTTCTCAAGCACAATTAATAGATAGTAACGAAGTAAAAAGAATATAAAGTACAACAGGAAAATGAGGAAAAAAAAAAAAGGTAGAATTACAGTCTAGCTCCAAGATGCACTATTTCACTAATACTAATCACAGATCACTGAGTACATCCTTCATCAAATAAACACAGTTCTCACATATACTGATACCTATACTGCAATTTCACATAATAGTTATTTTGGATAGTATCTGTTTCTTTCTGTTCTTTAACTGGAATATTTACAAATGACCAACACCAGGAAATCGTTCCTTTCCCACTGTATCTTCAGGGGAATTACATAGTCCAGAAGGACGTGGTTAAGTTGAACGCTTGCCAAAATGAAAACAACTGAAAACTTACCACCACAATTAGAAGTATCTAAGCCAGGAAATGTCAAACATTATCTTATAACCACATTTCCCTTACGTTCTTAATGTATCATTTCTCTGTTACATTAAAATGAAAATTATTTTAAACAAAATACTTTTTACATATAAGTTAACTAGCAAAGTATCCTTAAGATAGAAAACAAGAGTTTATGTAATGAAATAATATTCATTGAGACTCTGATTCTGTACGCATTACTATACACATACAACTGCCTTGCAGACTTTGAGAATAACCAGACAGAAGAGACACCAGAGTGTAATAGCACTGCTCCTCTATAATGCTCCTGTATAGCCAACCCCCCGTGATACACTATTTGCAAGATAAAGAGTTACTTAAATAATCTTTAGACTATTAAGTTGAAATACATATACACATATCTATCTCTCTATAGGAAAGACATATAAACCGTGTGAAATATCACATGGAATCAGATCTGAAATTTTCAAATTTCAAAATCTTCTTGATTATAGCCACTAAAGCAATATAGAGCTGATGCACCAGGCACAGAATACTATTTGCCATTATTTCTCACCATACATTCACATCCTCCTGAAGCAAAGATCTTCTTAACTGCTTTCTCCCCACTGACACTGCAAGAAGCTGCTTGTATAGCAACAAGATTTGCAGAATCGTGCAACCTGAAACTCCTGTAGTTGTTTGATGGTCAGCCAACCATATCCCAACTGAAATCACCCCAATGTCAAAAATCTTTCAACTACCTGATGCAACAAGATCTAGCAACTACTACTCGCAAAACACGTGAAATCATTTTCTAAGTCATGTAGGAAGTTTATCTCAGAACTTAGCTACCTTTCTTAATAAAAAACATGTATTATATAATACTAATGGAGATGATTTAGCATTCAAAGTGCAAAATAATCAACAGGCTCCCCCACAAAGAACCAGTGTTCAATCAAATAAATAAATGACTTAAAATAAAGAAAACTGCAATTGCATTCTCAATTACACTGAAAATCTTGACGACAAAGTTGCTTATCACTTCCTCAAAACAAACACAATTTCATTACCTCGTTCAAAACCTTCATAATAACAGGGAGTAGGAAGGCTGCTGTTTTTCCTGAGCCTGTATCTGCACTAGCCAAAATATCCCTCCCTAACAGTCCAACAGGGATCATTTGCATTTGGATGGGAGTTGGGACTTCATAGCCAGAATTCTTTAAATTACTGTTTAAAGTTTCAGGAAAACAACAGTGTTCAAACTCTATAATAGGTCTTGGAACTTGCTGGCCCTGGATTGCGATACCTAACTGCAGTTTAAGGTTCTCAACCTGCTCATCTTGCAAACCTAAAATAAAGGAGTGATCTTTATAGAAATAAGGTGTATTAAGGAGGTGAGTTTCTTCTTGAGATCCTCCTTGTGCGAGGTGATCAGATTTTAGCTTTTCCTCCTTTTCTTGAATTTGTAGAAGGTGTTTGGCTTTACATTCCAAGCTACAAACATCTTCATCTGTTTTATCACATATATACTCTCCGTAGCGACCACAGACAACACACACAGGTTCTCCAGGTTCTGCCCAACGCTGAGATTTGCTGAAGGACTTTATGGGTTCTTCTGAAGAGCTATCTTCAGTGGTACTTTGCTCGTCTTTTCCTAAAGATGGGTCAGGAACACCAAGATCAGAAGGAATAGCGATGGGCTCTGCGCATTGCACAACTTCATCCGAATCACATTTTGAAGTGGAAGTTTCTGTTCTAGCTGATTTAGCATCTTGGAACTCTAAGGAAGACCCTCCAGAAGACAATTTATTTTTCTTGGCCGTACAGCTTCTGTCCTCATCAGCACTCCTCTTGACTTTAACAGACCTTGGTAAAAACATGCTTCTGTACAGCAGAAAAGAAACAGCCATTAGAGAACAGTACAGAGCCGAGGAAATTTCCAACCCGGAAACCCACCCCTAATGAAGACACAGAAGCTGCCCCTTTCAAAAATCACCTCGATTAGCAATGCCGCCGCAGGCCAGCGGCGCTCGGACCGCCCGGCTCGCCTCCGCCGCCGCCCCCCCTCGGGCCCGGGAGGCCCCAGCTCACTGCCCCGCTTTCAAAATGGCGGCACGGGACGGGTTGAGGGGAAGGGAGACGGGGAGCTTCGGGCGTGAGGCGGTGCGTGGCGAGAGAAAGGGGGGCGGCCGGGTTCCCGCTCGCCTGGAGGAGCCGAGCCCGAGGCCCGGAAAGGGATGGCCGCGCGGGAGCCGGGGCCGCCTCGCCGCCCGCTTCGTTCCGGAGGACCGAGCCGTGCGGTGGCGTGCCAGCGGCGCTTTACGCCCCGAGCACACAGCAAGGACCGGCACACGCGAGACATCGTGCTATTACTACACCTAATGGAGGCGCGGGGCGTGCTAGCTACATTCCTAACTCGCGTATTTACCCATGTCCAGCACACGCAAGGGCAGCAATCCGGGAAATTACTTCTATGCCAGTAAGCAAAAGGCACGATTCACACTGCTTTAATATCGCCGTGGAGAACACCAGAACGTGTCACATTTCGCAAAAGGGCAGAAATAACTTTCAGATGCCGCCTCAAGCCGCGTCCCGCCACGCGGTACGGCGTGACGCCGCTACCGGGAAGCTGCCCCGAGGCGCGGATGCGTGCGGCAGAGCAGGCCGAGTATCCCGCAGCCGCTCCCTGCCTTCCCGAGGGCGCGCGTCACCGGCAGGAGGCGAGCTGCAGCCACGGCCGGCGGCACCGGCGCCCTGCGGGACCCCGTTCGCTGTGTGCCCCGCTCCTGGTCTTCAGCACAAGCCACACCAGCGGAGTACTCCTAGTCTAAAAGTACTCCCTAAGACCACAGATAAGGCGGCGCGTGGGAAAGATGCTTGCTGAAAGCGCCAAGGCTGCTGCGGTCTGAAGGCACTGCCCGTCCTCCGCAACAGATTGTACCTTCCCTCCTTCCTCCTCCAATACTGAGCCCATTAGTAATGGCTAGTAATTAACACTTCCTTGTTAGGCACTGACACTTTTTTTTTTTTTAATCATCACTTCGCAGATGCAGAAACTTAGTTGGATTTTATAATATCACTGAATGCAGCAGTGCACACAAACACACATGCACAAAAGAATTACTGCATACTAACATTCACCTCAACAAGTAATTTCAGCTATTAAATTTATACCCACTTCTGTTAGACTAATGAAGGTATTAGCAATAAAATAATATTGAAGTTAATTCCACTCAAATTATTAGTACTCGAGTATTGATAATTATAATTGGTAATATGATCATTAATAGTCATTATTAACATTAAAGTGTTATTGTTGATATTGAAGTCCTCCACTTCTTGATCTATTTTAAATGATACAAGAAACGTGTTCCCATGCTGATCCATGGTGTCTGTATCAAACCCACCAAAAACAAGTGTAGCACCTTGGATTCTTGCCTGCAGTTTACCAGCAGCTACTTTGCCCCACCTCTCACAGCCATCCTTCAGAAGCATGAACCAACTTTTCACTTCACTCGTGAACAGTAAATAATTCAGTGACACAAGACTGGATTAAATCAGAAGACCAAAATCCCTGTTCAGAAGGAACAAGTGTTAGGCATGCTACATCAGTGATGGTATCAGAAGCATTCCGAAGAGCAGTGTGACAGCAGTGACACAGCTCAGCCCTTTGCAGTGATACCTGCCTGGGCGAGCCCTGTTAGCTGCACTGCACTACAACACAGCCTGCAGGCACCTCACAGTCTGGCTTCTTGGGTTCCACAGAGGGTTTCATTAACAAATACATCCCAAAGGGTCAGAGTCCAAAACGCTTCAGTATAGTGTGCTTTAAGTTTCCTTCGTAGGCAAAATATCCTCACGCCAAGCCTGAATTTTCCACGTGGGGTGAGCCCCCAGTGTAGGCTGGCTGTGTACCCACAGTGGACTCAAATCCGAGTAGAAATGAAGCCAACACATCGCTCCCTCCAGTGGCAAGTGTCAGTACTGACGCGTCCGAGAACTCAAGCGTGCCTCCAAATGACAGGAGATTGGGATTTTCTTCATGCTACAGGATGCACATCGAGTTACTTCATATGAAGCATTGTTCTGAAATAAGGAATTCCACGGCCTTATCTGTGGTTGTTAATGTCATAATTCATAAAGAGCAATATATTTATGATGATGTTATTTAGAATAATTGGCTGAAATAATAATAATTAAAAAATAAAAGTAAAAGAACACTTCACCACACCTATATGTGGAGTTAGCAAAATATCTGCTAGTTGGGAAAGGAGGGAGGATGTCTGTCCATTCAGGTGACACAAATCAAAGTACATTTATTTGGAGATGGGCCTCATACCTGCTCCACCTGATGCTACAAAAAAGTTAAATAGCTTCCTGTTTCTTTCAAATTTCAGGATTTGGAAGGCACTTGGCAGATTTGTAGGTGAGGCAGTAATCCGCAGCTCTAAGCTGAAGCTCACTTGAAGAACAGTTCTTCAAACAAACCGCTCAGTCAATGACAGCGAGTGACTCCGCTGGTTTCTGAATTACAGCCTTAAAGGAACCACACAGGAAAAATCCAGATAATCTAAAAACAAGTAATGTGGCTAATCCTTAACTAGTCAATTCTGCTAACATTCATATCAATTGTCTTGATTTCATACAGACATTGAACACACTGTTTTTATCCTGAGACCAGGAAGTAAACAGGCAACTCCTAAGGTTGTTGCAAATAATCAACAAAAGAAGGCTTGGACAACTGAATTATTTGGGCTTCCCGATCATTTTTTCTTTGGAGAGCCACATTCCAAGAAGATATTGGTTGATGTTTCTCTCTGCAGAAGTCTGTGGTAAAATTTGAATTAATAAAACCCTAAGTAAACCTAAATGCTTAAAGAGTATTATTGAGTTGTGGGTTTGTTTGTTATTTTTAGTTTATAAAAAAACACAGATAAATCCAATCCTGAGCTCTAGCATTAAGTGCCAAATTCCTACAGGTGCAGAATGTCTTCATCTTTCCGTACCATGTCAGAAAAAAAACAGGGATATCACCTATTTCTGGTATTTGCATTTGCTGTTGGTTTTTTTTTTTTTTTTTTTTGTGATCAATTATTTTTCCTCTACTAATGTCCAAGATCCAACTATTAGAATACAGTTCTTTAATTAATTATTTTATAATTATGGTACTACATGCCCAAAACGTTATTTTTCCATGATGCCACTGCTTCATTAATACAGATCCACAGAAGTATTCCACAAAAGCCAAAATACTCACCTTTTACATTATTCTATTGCTCTTTCTGTAAGGATCTCAAATCATTACATTTGAAAGCTGCTTACTACTTTGCTATTTAGACTCACATAACAATGAATAAGGCTGGTTTATTGCTGCATGAGATGAGCACCATTCCAAAAACAAGATTAAACTCCCACTGAAATTAAGTCTGCATTCTTCCCCTTACAGGATCCCACACAAATGGATGCATGAAGAAGAGAAGGCACAAGAGACAAGAGGAATTAAAAGTTCCAGCTTACCAGATGACAGTGTTTGCTACTACTCCTGGCTTTAGAAGCCACTGGAAGCTGCTGCAAAATAGAGGAGCCTTCCAAAACTTGCTGCTATTGGCTGACTTGGTGGCTACACAGCTCCACAAGTCAAGTCCCAAAAGCTTCCTTTATGTCAGCCCTCTCTGCTGCTCTGAGTGGCTCCTAATGCTAAGTTTCAGCATACAGAATTCTAAATTCCTGAAATGTCATTCCGTCCACAAAGTATTCAATACACTCTTAATAGTTCACCTAAAAAAATAAAACTCATGGATAATTTTTTCCCGCTGACTCACTCCGAAGCTCTGACATTCATTTTGCAGTCCTGTGACTTATTTGGTATTAATTTTCCTAGCAGAGATCTTTGTCATATGCTAAAAAAGAATGTGACTGATATGCAAAATAGAGGATAAAAAAAAATTGTGATGTAGTTTACCAAAATGAAGTGACACCTTCAGCTAACATCTTTTCCACAAGCACCATAAGGCAATGTAGACACCTCATTACTGAGTGCAACATTTGTCCACAAAGTTCTAACAGAAAAATGTATCAGAGTTCAAAAGGCAATACTTAAAAAAACAACACCTTTCATTTATGTCCAAAATGCATACAGAAAATTTACTTTTCCTCCTCTAGAAGTACTTCTTCCCTGTTTGCTTTCCCTAGGTAGAGACAAGAACGAGATGACTGTTCACTTTTGCTACCCCTAACACTCCTTCCCTCTCTCCCTCCCCCCCCCCCCCCCCCCCATATTTTTTTTCCATAAACTCCAAAACTTATATTGGAAAGCTAAATGTGAGACTAAAGTCTCCTGCCAGTTCCTCCCCACTAAAGAATGTACCACCATTTGCTACAGACCAGAGTTCTGGTTTTTTTCCCCCCTCCATCACCTGGGAGGCCATGGTTTTCATTAGCTGTAGCAAACAGCATAGTGGTAAAGAAGTGATCTGTATCTGGTCGTAGCACAATTACATTTCTGACCTATTAGTTAGAACAAACAATAAACACTGTTTATTAGTCAAAATGAAGTGCTTATGCTGGCTGCATCAGCATGGACAACAACTAACTCAACTAGAAACTAGCAATAGAAAGCTACTGCACTGAAATTTGAAATGAAATGATTGTGCAGTGGACAGACAGTATTACATGGTACTGCTCATCCTAGAAATTAGTTACTATACTATTTAACCATAACTTCAAGTACAGTTTTGGCCCTTTGACTCTTTATAAGACTTGATTTTTTCTGTACATGTTTCAGTAGGATAAAAATGATACAATCCAGTCATTACAAAACTGGTACACTGCTCAGATTTTATGGAGTTAAAAATCACTTATGTAAATCTGTGAAAATAACCTTAAGATTCTAGTACTTGCTTTTTTTTTCCCCTGCCTTTATAACTTACTATTAATCTGATCATACATGTTAATTAACTTCATCCTTGCACTTGAATAGTCACTCATGACAAAAATGAGCTGCCCTCCCAGGCAAATGCTACTGGAAGATAAACATGCAACAGTCATCCTACAGAGATACAAAAGCACAGATTTAAGAATGACGGAATAACAGGACTAAATAGCAAGCCTTCAAGTTACACCTTCCTCCTAGCATAAAGTGCCAAGTACAGGAGAAAATGAAAAGCTTTAGACTATACTCCAATCCATGAATACCAAAGCTCTGTGGATCAGGGCTGTTGGACTGGGTAAACAAGGAGATGACCAAGACTCTGTAAATCCCAAAATAACCTTGCTCTAGGCCTTAACAGTCCACCTCTGAATTCTTACCATTTCAAAGCTTGGCTCTAACTACAGGTTTCTCCAGTTGCTTTTATTTACATTCTTCTAAGAAACTCAGCTCAGACAAAACAACTGCGCCCAAGTTCAATTCCAGCCAAATCAGTACTTCTGGTACAAGCAGATTTGTTAAGAATATGCCCTCAAAACCAAACATAAGCAGTAGAAGTAACTCATCTGAAAACAGCTGCCAATCCATGACCTCCACGTTCATAAAAACTCCCACCCACTTAAAAGTGGAAGACACTCAGAACATGGCTTGACTCCTCTGATCAGTCAGAGGACGGCAATGTAGCCAATACTGTGTATTGCACTAATGTATTGCACAAGGGTAGTTATCGCAGAGCTCTGCAAGAAGATTATTAAATATTAATAGATAAACCAGAAATACTTTTCTCTTATGTGATATACCTAAACTCAGTATGTGCAATTATTTTTTATTGCATAAAGGATAATTTTCTTTAAGGCTACCCAGAACAGCAAGTTCAGCTGTGATCAAATTGAGGTCCTGAAAACTGAGTAAGTGAAAATGCCTATTGGTATATACAGCAACTATAGACTTCAGATAACCCAAGAGATGAGAACATATCACTAAATGTTCAAGAAAATATAAATCCTTTAAGCCTCTCAAGCTTTTTCTTCTATGAACCATTTGCAGTATTTATCCACTAGCAGTTACAAGCACTAAGCAGACAACACTACCTCCCATGCCTCATGGCACCAAATTTCCTGTTATTTAATTGTGAGTTCCATGATCACAGACCTCTAAAGATGAAACAACAGATTTATCCTTCTGAAATTTAGCAGGTTTCCTAAATGTTGTTTACTATGGGAACACACAGTCAATGCATTAGCTCAGCTTGATAAAGCACAATAGCTATTAAAAAAGGAAGCAAACTTAACAAATGCAGCCTATCTCTCACTACCACACTTGAATGACTGGTTCCCTCTGCTTTCTGTTAGAAAGATTCAAAGAAAATGCCAGTAACCTTACAGCTGGTGACTGTAATACCAGAGGGTAGCAAGACAGAAATAATGAATGCCTCCTTGTTAAGCAGTTTTGTTTGTGCTGTTCCAAGAAAGATCTGCCAAGAACTTGCCATGCAAACCTTAGTTTTTCTGCGATTTGTAACTTGGCTGTAAAAAAATTCCAGCATAATAATGTCTAGTTCAGAAGAATTCAGATTTTGGGTTTTAAAATATACTTCTAAATTTCAGAATAAATTCAATCTACACTAAATAAGAAACAACATAGCATTTCATGTATTTTTGGTTGTTACCCTGAAAAAAAATTGTCATCAGCCATTTGCATGCTAGATCACTATATATTTTCTAACCTTTTTGGGTATTAAATTCTAATCTTTTGGATGTTAAGTAAGTCCAAAGAATTCTGATATAAATGGCAAATTTTGTGCTGTATGCTCAAGTCTCCACTGACATGTATTTTCCTTCTAGGAAAAGCTGTATGAAATCCACATGAAGAACTTGGGGATTCTAGCTGCTAAACGACCCAGTGGATTAAATCTGTGCTAATTCTTAAGACAAAGCAGCTGACTTGGCTGTAAGGATAGGTTGGGAAAAAACTGGCAAAATCACAGTCTTATAAAACACAAACTTAGAAAGTCCACATGAAAATGGTCTGGTTTGGTTTTGTTTAAACCAAATGATTAACAATTTTGAGCCATGCAAATGTCCACTTCCAGTTTTCCAACTTCCTTTTTTTTTTGTAGCACAGGATCCATTAGAACAACGTCATTCTGTATAGTTTCTTGCCAAAACAATATTGTTTCATGTTGTAACTAGTAAGATGCACACAAATTAGACTGTTACATGTAGCATCATGTAACAATGCAGACAGAAGCTCCAGCTAAGGAAGTCTTCCAGGAAAAGGCCAGTCATGAAGCCAGAAGGCTACAACAATTACCTGAGCACTGAGAAGAGCTGTGGAAAGGTGGTGGCTTAGGCTTGTGCCAAAGAGGAAGAAACCTCCCAACAGTTCTAAACTAAGAGACAACAAAAATATACCAATCAATTATAAAATTGTTCTGAATTTATCTGACAGGTTCACTGCCAGGACGTTCTTGAAGAGATAAAGCCAGAAAACAACATGACACAGAGGAGCAAAGAAATTATTTTGTTCATTTTCTTGACTAATTTGCTTTATTTTTTCCCCTTCAGGGGACTCTGCCTATAGCACATTAGCCTCCAGAACACCTCTACCTACCTTACAGTTTTGTGCAAATTAAATCTAAGTAGGCGTATGAAACAACAGCTCCTCTGAGATTATTTGCAATTCAGCCAAACATGTCAGATATAAAAAAGGAAAAATGCTAGACATGTTTCATCATTCTTGAGGACTCCATGAAATGAAGTAAAGCCATGGCTCTCATTCCCATTCTGTTCTGCTTCAGAGTAAACTAAAGCTGCAGAGGAACAGCTCCCCCTGACATTACTGATTTAAATACTTGAAAACAGAGCATTACTGCACTATTCAACTTGAACAAGGAAAAAGTGTGGCTAGACAGACAAGAGACGAGTAAGAACAAAGAGAGCCTACCAGATCAGTGGGACTCAGAGCAAAAACAAAAGGCTTCTCTATTACCAACCCTGTCTGTTCTGCAAGAAGCCACAAACATAGTCAGTGGTTATAAGAGGGAGTTGGCCCTGGGAAACATGTCAGTATGTCTTCAGTGATTAAAGAGACAGCAGAAGTGCATCTCCATGCAGATGGCTCTTAATCAGCAGTTGATACACAGGAAACCTGCTTTCTAGTAGCAGCGAGGATATTTCTGCAGGACTCTTAAGTAATGAAATCAGAGCAATGTAATAATATCAAAGCCTTGTTTGCTACTGCTTGCCTACTATTACAGTATCTAAAACCCTGTAATCTTGACTCTGAAGCGACATCATTCATCACTTTGTTCTACATTTCCACTGGTCTCTGGGTAGAGCACCTACAACCCAATACAACAAAATGTTTACAATTCTTATTTTTCATCTCTTTGTTCTTAGGTGTCCCATCTCCAGTTCACCTCTTCCCCCAGAGAAGTCAAACAATACTCCTGATTATTCTAGCACAGTACTGCATAAGACCTTGGAGGTAAAAAGGAAGATGTGCTAATATGCCTGTGCCTCAGATAGGCTTTCTTATTGAGCTGGTCTTTGTTTCCCTCATTCTTTTTTCTGGTGACTACTGACTCACTGCTCTTCCTAAAAGAGAACACCACAAGCCAGGTCAGAGACTAAAGTGCCCAATTCCAGTAGATGCCTTATGAATAGTGAACTACTCACTCAATTGAACAAGCTGGACCTGCATCAACACAGGAATTTATTGCAATATCTGTTTTGTTACCTTACATTCTCCAATCAGGCAATTGCAATCAGGCAATTCAATTAAACACAGTAAGGAAAACAGAAAAGAGCTTGCCACAGACAAGACTTGCCAAAGGAAAACCAATAGGTATACCATCAACTCCCTTTTCCAGTCCTTATTTCCAGGGATTACTTCTGTTGCATCATATAACAATTCCCTTGATTCAGTGTAATGCCTACAGGCACACTCTCAACCAGGCTGCTGCTTCACTCATTTAGTAAATTACCACCTTTAAGGACTGAACTGTGTCTGCTAAGACAAAGCCTGTGAGAGGGAT